TGCAAGTCGAAGGCGAAAGTATTATTATTATGCGAGGACGAGGAAACGTGAACTCGTTTCGAATCGGCGATCCGCGATTGCGTCTCTGTTATCGAGGGACATGATGGAATGTCACCGATATTTTCATGTTTTAACAACCACAGACGAAGTATGTGAATGAAGACTTAGTATAGTATTTTTTTTTTTTTTCTTGTCCTACGATTTCGGGGTTAGGACAAACGCCTTACCATTTTCGCATCACATCCTGTCCTATCGATTCAGAGAGGTTTTGCATTATGGCACATTATGGTGATGAGAATTAAAATCAAAAAATACGAACAACGTTGCTGGATCTCTGTTTCGAGATGGTATTTTATTAAAGTGAATGATTGCTAATCATTGTCAGTCGAGTTCAGGAAAATAATACGTAAATGAAAGTTGTTGTGCATTATCATGAAAGTAAATACAATTAAAACGTAATCCTAAAAAATTTTATAAACAAGAAAAAAAACATTTTAACAGGCCGCGAGTTGTTACATCATTGATGTAAAGTATTACTATATTTGGAATGACTAAAATTTCGATTGTATAAATTTCGTATAAATTTGTATATCATTCGAGACTAGTCAATCCTATATACATAATAATTTTTTCATTCTCTATTATTTACTATGACACGTTTGTTACTCTGTTAACATTATCCAATGTGTCATAGTAAGAAATGTGGACAGTATTCTGTTACTACGTTATATAATTCGTTATTTAGCTCGGTTGTTCCGATAAATATCGAAAAAGTGACCTGTTCTAGAGCAGTATTCAACGCGTTGGGACATTTTCGCACACCCATTACCAATACTGAGTTGCCGTCTGTTCAATCAGAACACGTAGAGTTACACACATGTGTGTGTGAATATCGGTAAACAGATTTAGAAACGGGTTCTCTACATCGGGCTTCGTTAACATTAAACACATGAAGTAACCCGCGTAAAAACCAATAAGTAACAGTGACAAACATAGACGCACCTTTACAAACAACCGTCTCGTATAAATAGCACACAATCTGCATACGATCTTCATCTAACCTATAACTAAATATTGCAATACCATAAGACATTCTTGCCAAGAATCTCTCTATTGTCGAGACAATGCGGAAGAGTATCGATAATTTTGTTATACACACGCACTTATATACAGTGAAACTATACTAACACTGATTTTACCCCATTAATTAATGATTTTTCGTTCGTACAACAGAGATTCAAGTTCGAGTAAATGGATGTAGCCAAGGTATTGATTAAATAAATTTTGGCTCAAATAAATGCGTGTCTACTGAAATTAATATAAATTAAATAAAATTCGTGTCTACTGAGATTAATATAAATTAAATAAAACTCGTGTCTACTGAAGTTAATATAAATTAAATAAAACTCGTGCCTACTGAGATTAATATAAATTAAATAAAACTCGCGTCTATTGAAATTAATATAAATTAAATAAATCTCCTGTCTACTGAGATTAATATAAATTAAATAAAACTCGTGCCTACTGAGATTAATATAAATTAAATAAAACTCGCGTCTACTGAGATTAATATAAATTAAATAAAACTCGTGTCTACTGAAATTAATATAAATTAAATAAAACTCGTGTCTACTCAAGTTAATATAAATTAAATACAATTCGTGCCTACTGAGATTAATATAAATTAAATAAAATTCGTGTCTACTGAGATTAATATAAATTAAATAAAACTCGTGTCTATTGAAATTAATATAAATTAAATAAAACTCGTGTCTACTGGGATTAATATAAATTAAATAAAACTCGTGCCTACTGAGATTAATATAAATTAAATAAAACTCGTGTCTATTGAAATTAATATAAATTAAACAAAATTCGTGTCTACTGAGATTAATATAAATTAAATAAAACTCGCGTCTATTGAAATTAATATAAATTAAATAAAACTCGTGTCTACTGAGATTAATATAAATTAAACAAAACTCGTGTTTATTGAAATTAATATAAATTAAACAAAATTCGTGCCTACTGAAATTAATATAAATTAAATAAAATTCGCGTCTATTGAAATTAATATAAATTAAATAAAACTCGTGTCTACTGAGATTAATATAAATTAAATAAAACTCGTGTCTACTGGGATTAATATAAATTAAATAAAACTCGTGCCTACTGAGATTAATATAAATTAAATAAAATTCGCGTCTATTGAAATTAATATAAATTAAATAAAACTCGTGTCTACTGAAATAAAATAAAATAAAATAGAAATAAATCAAATAAAATCGTTTCTACTGAAATTAATATAAATCAAACAAATGTTGTTTCTACTGAAATTAATGTAACAACAAATACCACCAGTTGACGCTGGTTTCGTGTGTCGCGTTTCTTAAGTGGCCGATAGCCTGAAGAGAGCCCGTGGTATCCGACGAAGTCTCGGAGCTGGAGTAGCACAGAGAGAAGCGGGGTCCCGCCGCGTGCCACGAACCGCAAGGGGGATCCACGCTGGGTCCCCCTTCGGACCGAAGAAAGAACAACGAGTCGGAGAGAGATAGAGATGGAGAGAAGGGGAAGCCAGGGGTCCTTGCCGTGGCGAAGGAAGAGAAGAAAAGAGGACAGCAGGAGCGCGCTGGGGCTGGTAGGAGGGGAAAGCTCTCCGGAGAAACGGGACATTAGCATAAGCTAAACCGAGCTAAGCGCGGCCATATAGCACGAAAATAAATAGTCGGTTGTCCCGTATCTACAACGAGACGAGTTTAGCATGGGCCGATCTCCCCCGAAAAACCCAAACGCGCGTGTGCGTTCGTTCGGGTTCGCCCTTCTTGCTCCTTGGTCGTTCGCGGACACACGCGCTCGGCCACCCACCGCACAGGGGACCTATCGGCCCATCGAACTCGAAGGGTCGATCCTTCCGCGCGATCGCGCTCGGACGCTGAAGAAACTCGCGTTCGTCCGTTCGTCCTCGATTTGCGGACAAGCAGCAATCCGGTTCTCCATTGCGACACACTTTCGCATAGGATTTTCTATGCGAAACGTCGGACGAATACGTACGCGTCTACAATTTCTTCGACCAGAAGCAATGTGGTTTCTCGTATTTTTCTTGTAATTTTTCTCCCTAAATCTGTTCATCGTTTTTTATCGTCCCTTACTCGTCATCTTCCGCTCAACAATTTCGTAACTAGACGACAAGATTCATCCTTTCATTACCTTTTATTTATCAATAATGTAATTGTGTGTTTATCTTTTTTTCGTATTATATTTTTATTTAATTATATCGGTACTCTGACATTGAATTTTCTTTCAGTAACTTTGTTAATTAGATTGTTAAATGTTACATGCACGTCTCTGTACCTTGTATAGAAATAGTGTTATTTTTGTCTAATTTGTTCGAACTTTTGCTGATTTATTATTAACCACGGATGTTGCGTGTATTGAACGATCACGAATTTCGTTGAAGTGGGGAACGAACGAATATTCGGTTGATTTAAATTGCCGCGATTGGTCGAAATCTTTGAAACGTACAGTAGCTACAAAACACGTAATTGCACACACTCTTATCTTCCAATGAATTTTCACCTTCGTGGTGAAAAATTTTTTTTCTAGTTGTACGAACTATGTACTAATAAATGACATGAAATTTAACATACAACATTTAAACACAGTTATTCAGACGAATAAGGACTACAGTTTCTATGTTAAGAAGATTGTATTGAGAAACTTTTTTCTATTATTAAACGTACTCTGAAGTGTGCTCATATGTAAGAACATATTATATACCAAAAAACGTAACAACAAAATCTAATGAAAAAAGACTGGAAAGTCGCCTCGAAAATTATGCAACGCATATATGCTATAATAAATACAGTGGTATGCAAATTTTTTACTTTTTTGTAGTCAAAACAGTCCTTGCGAATTATACAAAAAAAACCTACGCGGATTCGACGAAGAATCGAAGGCTTCTTACCTCAGACACCTATATGAGACGATATTTCAAGAACAGTGTCGACGACATACATAATCGAGTGTAACGATCGCCGCGGAAACAAGAACAAGGAACAATATCAGACGAATATCTCCGATGAAATTTAGCTGTAACAGGTCCACGAACGAACAGCTCGATCGGTGAAGCAGTCAGAGAAGAATCGCGACGAACAGTTCGGGAAGGCGAGTATCACGAGGAAGAGATGCAAACGAAGGGGAGAGAGAGGCACGCCTCGAGCATTGTCCCGACTACCGGACGATGACGATCGCGCGACGCGAACGTCGACGAACGAGCTATGGGTATTGTGCCGCTAGTCTCGTCCTGTGGCTAGAACGGGAAATCGCGCGGTTCGGATGACAGCCCACAGTCCCCGATAACATCTGTCCCCGTCGATTAGACGAAGCTACGAACGAGCGGCCGCGCGTCAAGAGACGGTCGCGATCGGACTTCTTCCGGCGGCCCTGCCATCGCTCGCGGAACACCGCCCGAACATTGTCCGCCCCCTTTCTCTAAGCTTCTCTAAGCTCGGACGAGGATCGAGCAGCGCACGTCACGCTAGTTACGCGAGGAAGACGCGTCGTATCATTGTTCGACCAATTGTGTCGTCAATTCTGCGTGGAGAAACGTCTCTGAATCGAAGAAGTATCTTTTCCGATGGAACTCTTGAACTTTGGTGGAACCCTCTCCTGCCAAGTGATTCTACTCCGAGGCCACGTTTCCTCTCTGGCTGGCTATTTTCTTCCTCGTAATTCAGTCGTTGTAATTGTCAGAGGAGAGGATGTTTCCACACTTTGTGCCAATTTTGCTCGTTTATATTTCAGCAAGTATTTGTTGCTTGTATCTTTGTTTCGGAGCGAAGATGAATTCAGAGGTATAAAATATGTAAGAGATTGAATTTTTCGATTATCAGTAAGAAACCTAAACGATCTCAGCGAACGATATTGCGAGCAAAATATGATTGTTAATTTGTTTAAACGCTGTCGGGTAGAAAGAAGGAATTGCAACAGTTTCGCTTTACCTGTGGTGAAGAGGACGATGGCCTTTAGGCAGCTGTACTCCGCGGAGTCGACGTGAAGAGCCTTGAGTTTCTCCACTTGCTCCTGAAAGATCCTGATGTGGTCCATAAAAGCGACGACGCGATCCGCCGCCATGGGGGAGGCGTGAAGGCCGGCCGCGGCCAGCAGCGGCGCCACGTGCAGAGGCATCGAGCACTGGCTCGCGTTCAACACGAACAACTCGCTCCAAACTAGCCTGAGCAGGGCGACCTGGTCGGTGACTTGAAGATCTGGGAAGAACGGGATGTTCCTGGCCCACTCGACCGCCGAGAACAACAATCTCGCCGCGAGCTCGCAGATGTTGTCGATCCCCATGATGTTGTTCGGCTGCATGCACTGGCCGTACCGCGAGGTTGGATACGGTTCCGCCCTCAGGAGAAGGCTTATGTACGAGGAGAGGTAAGAATGACCGTTCAGGCTGGCACACGCGACCGCATCACCGTTCGTTAGGGCAAACTGCCCCGGTAAACCTGGTAGCGATGGCTGCGACGGTGGCACTCGGCCCCTCTGCACGGCTGCAACATATGAACCAACTGCATCAATCTCAACTGCGGGCTACGCGCAGTATTACACACGGCAAGAACGCGCGGACGTTGCTCACGGCGACTCGCGTCGATTAGTTCATTTTGAATCTTACGTCACGAGAGGTTATTGTCGCGTCGAGGGGACGTACAGTGTTTACGCGAAACGTGTTACGATATTTGTAATCTCGCGAGACCCAAGCTACTGACTACATATACACATACACGTTCCTGGTGGAACGACGTATGTATGCCTATATGTAGTCGTTAGTAGCTGGTTCAATTTTGTTTTTCTCTTTTGTATTTTTATTATGATTGTTATAATATGATAGGATAGTAAAACACTTTTTGCTACTTTTATTGCCTATAAATAATATTATTTATTCTCGTTGTATCTAATACATAATCGTTAGATTGCATTTATGTTTGCTACAAACAAAATTGTAACAATTGTTACGTTTAGCGTTATATTTGTTGTTGTCATTGCCTATGCAAGTCGAACATCTCGATCGTTTTAAGCTTTAAAAAATGGAAACCACTAAAAGACTAAAAAATACAAAAAAATGAAAAATATTACAAAACTAAAGAATACTACTAATGAAAACTACTGAGAACAATGCACTGAAATACATTTCCGACCATTCGCTATGACTGCTTCTTCAGAACTGAGTCGTACGTGCGTTCGTCATCGATTTGACTTCTTATTGGAAACATAATATGATACCATTTTTAATCGCCAAATCGTAGCCGTACAGGCTAACTTTGTATAACTCGCACACAAAGTAGGACTTGAAACGGGTCGCCGCAGACCCAGCCACCGTTATGCGAGGGTTAGGTACCCTTGAAGCATGATGTGCAAAGTAAAAGGATGAGAAGGATATTTTCAAAATTGTTAACTACGTCGTGTCTCGGAGGGCGTTTAATTGGATAATTGATCCACTAAGATTAATCTTACTGTCATTTTTGTGTCTATGTGGCTCAATCAGATGTTATATTTCAATAGTAAATGTATATCATAAGTTTCCTTTCCTTATTTGGATAATAAGAGATAAAGATAATAAAAGTTGATTAATTATAAGCATATCTGAAACTCAGTATAGAGTTTTCTATATGTATGTGGGTTTTAAACATTTGAATATTCGACACGCACACTTTTATAAACGAAGTATTACGATGTCTGGAGAAATCGAACGTGATGAAAAAATGAGGGAGACAGGAAGGCTAAACACTCATTGTTACACAATTGTAAGACAATTTTAATATACATATCTTCGTCGTACCACCTCATCGCGACTTTACGTAATCATCATTGTTTCAAATCGTCATGTGTTGTCTTTGTGAAAGTTTTTGTCAAGTGCGCAAAAAGATGTCAATCGCTGAAAGCCAAAGAAACTACTGCAATTAAATGGTGAATTTCTCTTGGCACTTTTAGCATTCGAAAAGTATGTGACAAACTGCGTTTCGTTGATAATATTATGACAATGAAATTTGGTATAGTTCGCGCCAATATGTGAGAGAAGTTGTATGGCTTTTCCGTGGGTATATAAAATTTCTGAAGAATCTTCAGAGAAAGGGCAAAAAAGAGTTAAAAACAAGCGAACAAAGTCACGAAATTTCTTCGATATTTCTTAGAAATTTTTCTATCGCGTGAAAATGTGAAGAATTAGTTGACAACAAATGTTTAATTAATTTCGCGGTGTGCTTTGGACCTTGATCTTGCCGACAGACTCATAAAATTATTGTCATATCGAGGTTTATATTTTCAAATATAATTTTAGAGTATGAAAAAGTGAAAGAATCATCGTAACACATGCAGCTAGATTTCAAAGTATCTAAATATCTCGGTAACAAATGAATTTTTTAACAATTCTCTTACTCCATATTATTTCTGTTATGTACGATTATAAAATTTCTTGCGACCCTGTATTTTTTGTTTTCATGCATGTATAATGCTTGGAAGGCACACCGTTTTACTCAGGAGTTTCTTCAATCCTTCTTCACTGCTTCGCGTTAACCCCTTGCGCTGGCAACTGATTCGCGGACCATAACGAGTGACCAAACCCGCATACAATAATTCGTCACTTTCTTTTTAAACTCGTCGGTGTGATCATATCGCCGGATAGAAATTATTGAGTAGTAATAAATTTATTATTTCCTTTGCCTGGGTTATACTTCGATATACTTAGAACTAGAGGAAGTATTGCAATTTTGGGACAAAAAATCCTCGACGTGGCACGTCGTTCCAACGCAAGAGGTTGAACCACGACCGCCAACATTTTTTCACCAAGCGTTGAAGACATTCCCGACGATGCTTTCCAAAAATTTTTATCGCTCCCACTTGGGGCGAACCTTGGATACAGGACACACTGCTCGGCGGGGATTTCAATTGAAACGCGTTGCCTCCCTAGGCAAACGTCCGTCGAATACCGTTTCGCTGCGAAACGAGTCAAAAGAGAATACGAAGAAAGGCACAGAGGGACAAGGAGGAGCAGTGTCTGTACATACGCGTGACTGTCTCTCTCTCTCTCTCTCTTTCTCCCATTCTCGCCCGTTCCGTCTTTTACTTCTCCTTCGAGACTCTTCGAGCAACGACACCCCGCTGTGTTCGACGCCTGAATTCCAACCTCCGCCCCGCGGCTAACGAATACCCTAACGTCTCTCCTATCTTTTCCTCTTTACCCGCCTCCACCCTTTCACCGCACTGAACGAGTCGCCTAAACCGAAAAAAAAAAAAAAAAAAAAAAAAAAGAAAAGAAAGAAGCAAGAAGAAAACTACGAACCCGAACCTCTTCGGGGACAGGCTTTCTCTAACAGCCTCCGTGCCATTCGTGTATTTACCGGTTTATCGAGTCGCCGATTTCTGCGATTTCGTTTAACCACCCGGAGGTTTCCACCAGGTTGAAATCGTTGCGACCGATTGGTACCGGGCGAGGCACTCTGTTATTTCGTTCGGCCGATCCATCGTTGAACGCGCGAGGAGGAGGGGGGGGGGAGGGGGGGGGGCACGCGAGAGAGTTCACGGCGCATAGTCCGACTCGCGATATACCGTTACCGAGCCGGCCCGGACACGGATACTCGTTTCGTGGCTCGCTCGAGCGGAAAAGAATCCGCGGGGAAATTTGTAAAGCGCGTCCAGCCAGTCAACTCTCGGGCGTACAGTTATCGAACCGGGCGAGAGGAGCAGATGCGTTGCGGCTCTCTGCCGATTTCGCGCCAAGTTTGAAAAATTGCTAGATCGCAGAATTTCTGTGAACATTCAGGAAGCTTGTGGCTCGCGGCGTTTGGCACGAAATAATGATAACGCTCGTTTTTTTTTTTTTTTTATAAATATTTTTATATACTCTAGTAACAGTCTCGTTAATTTTTTTTAGACTTTGTAACGATCATTGAGGTTTTTAACAGTTACTGAAACGCAATATTTATTGGGAACGTGTCGCTTAATAAATTTCAATTCTCAGTTTCAATTCTCAAAAAAAAGAAAAGAAAAAGGGGAAAAAAGGATAATAAATAAAACACACAGATTTAATATTGATGTCTGCACATTTAGAAACGCTAGAATTAATCTAACCTAATTCTAAATTAATACAATATGGTATATAACGTACGCTGAGATCGTTACTAACATTATAGTTGACGATATAATTTCGTATCTTTGAGAAAATAAAGAAATGTTTCGCAAGAAGTGCTCCTTATCATTTAGACATGGCTGATTCTCATTGGGAAGGTCACATTTAATTGAGACTTCGGCATTATTGCGATTAAAGAGACAAGAGTACGTTCGTTTGGCATCGAAGTCTGGTCAGAGTGACTTATTCCTTTCTGTTGAAGAAAAATATCAAATTTTTTTATTAAAGAAATAAAATAAATTTCTTGTTAAAGAAGCGAAAGAATTAACTTATTAACACATTGTTGACCGGCAATTTCACGCAGATGTATGTTCATAATTGAAGTATGAAAGTGAAACAATCTAAATAAATCTTCAATAGTTTATTTATACAGAATGAATTTAATTAAAACTTTGTATATCTTTTATATATATTATATTTTGTACATATGATATATTTCAGTAATTTTATTTTGGTGTGATAAATTGTATAACAATCACCTTATGTGTAATGGTGCACAACAGATTTTGCAAATTTGCCATTTTGGAGATCTAATGTACGATTCGTATCTATCCTCCGACAAGCTATCAATTTCCACATCACTACAATATTTCAAAATCACTCGGACAGACAGATAGATAAAGTCTACGTATAATTCTTCACCGTCACGATCCGTCACGAAACTTTTGTAATACTAAAATTGCGATAAAAACTTAGATATCAATAAAAGTAATTTTTTTTTTTTGTAATTAAATTGAACACGACGAAGAAAGATTTCACAACATCCTGCATTGCCCTGAGTGTAAAAAATTGAAACAGCTAATGCAAGTGCAAACACGAGTTAACTCGTGGTCAACAATGTGTTAGAGAATTTATTATGAAAAATAGCCGAGATAACCGAAATTGAGAAAGAACTAGAAATTTATCGCATGAAGGACTCGTTAATCTCCAAGATAAGGCAAGTGTTTCTTGAACAAAAAAAGTTGAAAAATACATCCATGTGTTAAATTTATCTCAATAGTTGAATTTAGAGTTTTCATCCTGTTATACTTATTTATTTGTGTTTATTCATATTTTATGTTCGATGGAGGGGTGAGCTGGTTTCCACGAAAACGGAGAGCAGAGGGGAGAATTAGGCGAAGCAAGATGAAACGAAATTGGATCGGCGACCACGTATTGTACATACGTACAATAATCTCGCTGATGCAACCGGCGGATCGTTGCGCCCAATTCTTCGGATCGCGGACGGCAACAGCTCGTAATTTCTCGCGGCGAGGTCAGAGGTCGCGGCCGATTGCTCCGCTCGTCTTATCGGCGAGCGTGGACTTTTTGTTCGCGAGATCTCGAGCAGAGCGGCAGAAACCGTGGCGTTTAGATAATCGGAAATGCGAACGCGAACGAGCCACG